TGACAGGGGCTAACCTCTTGGTGGCAGTGGGAGTTGTGTGGAAGAGGTGACAAACCTCACAGGTAGGGTGTGAGTGGGCAGTAGGCAGGCCTGTCGTCTCTGGCACTTAGATTGTCACAAAGCCAGCCTTTTTCCCATGGCGCATTACCCAGCATTGGGCAGGAGAGGCTCAAGGTGGTGGTGCGGGCAGTCAGCCAGCTGCAAACACTGTTTTCCCCAAGATAGAAGAAGTCAGGTTTCTCTTCTGTCCCAGCAGTTCTGGCTGCATAAAATCTGGACTGGGAATGACATCAGGCCCCAGAAGAGGTATCCTCACCTATGGCTATAGTGAGAACGAAATAAAACTAGATATTGATAAGCTCCCATGAATACGGGGTTTTAAAACTGGTAATACTCCTTTCTTAAGATTCACTGGAAAAAAAAAAAAAGATTCACTGGAGTACATACATTCCTAATTGTTATTTTCAATTGTGCTGATCATTTGATCTCATGAGCCTGTTTTTGATTTCAGGTTATAAAATGAAGATGATAGTATTTGCCCTGACTACCTCAAAAGACTGCCATAAGCATATGTGGGGATGTGACAATCCACATTGCAAAAGGCTGTCTGTTAGTTACCACCACTATCTCCATCACAATTCTGACTGTGGAGATGAGTGCAGGTCAGGTCTTTGACTATGTCTATTTCATATGCTTTCACATTTATGCTGTTGCCACTATTAGTGATCAGGGCTAAGCCTTTTGCAAATTTGTCAGCCTCCTCTCAGATAGCCTTCTCTCTGTCCTCCTAGCACCTGCTTGTAACCTGAATCTTTGGACAGATCTTTATTGTATCCAAGGCTCTCTAGGACTCCCACCAGGGCCTGGGAAGCATCTCCTATTTTAGGTCCTCTTCTTCCTTTCAAGAATTGAATCTGCAATTTTCTAGAAGAACTGTTCTCTATTAGATAGGAAGGGGCTTAGGGGACTTTGATAAACCTCATATCCACATAATGCTTTTAGTAACTGAACTAATGATTAATTCTTATGAAAACAAATATCTCCAGAAATTGCTATGCACTGCAACTTCCAAGCAAGCAGGTGAGCCTTTGGGCCTCCAAACATGGCTGTGCAGGGTCAGGACAAGAGACCTGCTTGGATTGGAATGTCCATGTATTAAAAACAGTACATTTTCAGGTGTGTAGCATATATACCCTCAAAAATGCTATACCCCATGCAGTGTTCTAATGCTGAACTCAAATGCACAGAGCTGGGCAGTGGAGAACTGTAGTTTACCTTTTGAGTTAAGAGACTAGAATTCCAAAATGTCTGCTTTAGTGTCTGCTTTAGAGCTTATCACCCCAATAAACCCATTCTCCAAACAGTGAATTGGTGATGTATGGAATAATTTATTGGAAAATATTACGAGAAGAAGTCTCCAGGCACTAAATAAATTAAAATCGTTACTTTGAAGTAAATAGAATTATAACAAAAATGATCAACAATAAAAAAAAAATGTGAAAGTGGAGAAAGATGATTTTGGATCTCACTCAACTCAACTGCTCCTCCTAGTGCAATAACAGTGTTGTTACCTTCTCCTCACATTTCTAAACAGGCAAAGACATTTAAAGCTCTAGCTTACTTTGCAAAATATTATGTGAGAAAAATTTAGATCAACTTAGAACATTAGGGAGAATGGAAAAGAGGGTCTTTCAGTTTCTTGTGAAGTCTCTGACTTAAATCTTAATGGGACACATCAGCTACAATGGCAAGAAAAATATAGTAGAGCACCACCAACATAGAGTGAAAGTTATGTTATTCCTCTAAATATTATTTTAAATACATTATGTTTTATGCATACATAACACAACTATCTAGTAAGTCACCTTTAAAATATGTTTTGGAAGTTAAACATTGAATCAGATAATATGCTCAAGGAAAGTTCAAGAACACAAAGTTGGGCAACATTTCTAAATCTTTTAAATTAGAGTTTGTGACTCTGCTGGTACATTCAACTGTAGCAGGTAAGAGCTTTCCTCTCTATTTTTGTGTTCCCAGAAAGGTAGCTTTAAGTGCCTCTGTATTACAACACATTTTAAAATATCAATTTTTGTAAGTTCTTAGGAGAAATCCAGTGTTACTCATCTAACAGAGGATTATAAGCAGAACCATAGCATATGTGGGAACAAGCAGAAAATGGTTAACTGGTGCCTAGTCAAGTCTGTAGATGTGCTTCTTGTTACCGGGCACCAGTGGTCTTTTTCAGATCTGTCTTCTGTGACTTAGTGGTTTATCCTTAGCTCTTGTTTTAATACTTTCAAACTTCCAAAATCGTTCAGCTGTTTAAAAGTTCCAAAACAAGCAAATGTGTTACTGGAATCTTATCCTTAACTTTGCTGGAGAAAATATATAAGGCTTCTTCTCCAGCCAAAATAATAAAAGACCTTTCAAGTGGCTAAAATTCTTGGTTGATTGCACATACATGTCAATGTCAGACAACTATAAATAGAAAGATTTGAAGGAGAAATAGGGAGAGTATAACTGCAACAAAATAAAATGGAATGTTTTGAAGGCAGTCAGAAAACAGTACATGTTTTTATAAAATTACGATCTGTCTCCCTTTAATCCACAATCCCCTTTATGTAGAAAGAGCCCACATGGATCATGCACTTCCAGTATGAGGGAATAAAAGGACTTTCTTTTCTTTGTTAATATGTATATTATTCTCAAACAGGTAATTAAGATTTATTCTTTTGAATTTGGATATCTATTAGATCTTATGATATTTTCCCCCATCACTGCTTTGTTTTCCTAGAATAAGAAAAAATCTTTCAGAGGAAGAAATTGTGCCCATGATTACTGATATAAATGAAGTCAGCAGGGTATTACCTGAGTGTTACCTAGGGCAGGGTTGGCCCCAAAATAAACTGGGTCATTTGCTATAGCTATTCAAAGAAACTTAAGGATTCATTTCTCGAGAAATTCTTACTCTCTTAGGCAGGTTAACATGTCCACTAGCTTCAATACCTAGGTTAATACATATTTTTAAAAGTATTGCTACTTAATTTTTGAACAGTGACCTACTTTTTTATATATTAACACCTTATATTGATCCATCTAAACTGAATTCAAATTAGTTCTTGAAAATCAGTTTAATTTATTTTAAACCTGTGACAACTGTACAAGAGAATTTAACAGTTGCTTCAGTTTAGTAATTGTGCTATAGACAAGCAAATTAGTTGACAATGGAGAAAACCATCACTCGTGTAACAGTCTTTTAATGTAGTTCTTTCGAATTCTGATCTCACTCCTTAGGTGAGAGAGGCCGGAGTGTTGATGATGGTTGCAAGGACCATTTGGAGGAATAATCAATAACATAATTAACATCTCTGCATGTTAGTTCTCTTTAAATTACATTGGTTTGAATTGGCTGCAGGCTATAGCTTGGCTCTAAAGATCCAGCACTTAATATTGGAATACCAGAAAGTAGCATTTTAATAATATTTTCATTTATTTATTTATTTATTTATTTCTATTTTTTTCTGAGACAGAGTTTCACTCTTGTTACCCAGGCTGGAGTGCAATGGTGCGATCTCAGCTCACCGCAACCTCCGCCTCCTGGGTTCAGGCAATTCTCCTGCCTCAGCCTCCTGAGTAGCTGGGAATGCTACTCAGAAATGCTGCTATGCTACGTCTGACTTGTCAGATACTCTTGTTACTTTAAATATAGGTTTAGAGATTCAACGACTTTATCAACAATTGTTTCATAAAGTGGTTATCTGGTTGGACAGGAATGATGTCTTATTCCTATGAGAGAGGAATGTGTTTGATCATTCAATTAAGGTAGGAACTGTATTCTGTATATATTACCTGGTGTATAAAAGCACTTAATTAAAATGTGTTAGACCAGTGATCAGAAAATGGGGAGGCAGAGATGAGGAGCATGCACACAAAGCTCCCAGCAGAGGGAATGCTTCCCAGGGGAGCCTTGAGGGTAAGAACTGGCTCTTCAAATGGCACATGCAAAGCCCCATGTTAGACAGAAATGATTATACCAATGTGTTCTTCGAGGTACAAATTTAAGAAAAATAAATGGCCAAATCCCTAAAGTAAACTACTGCAGAATTTAATGTATTCATTTCATGAGTTCCTTGCCATTAGCTGTCCACTGTATCCACTGAGAGTACAGATTAGCAGCATTTTAATTTGAAGAAGTTTTTTCTTATTTTTTTATAACTGATAGTGTTCAAAATTAAACATGTGATAACAGTGAAAAATGTGAGCATAACACTAAATTCCAAATAGACAAAATTTTATGATAAATTACAGTTTATTTAATCAAAGCAGTTCCAGTTACCTTTCCCCAGCATAATACTTGAAACGACGTGCTCACAAGCAAACAGGAATGACTAAATTACTGTTTCCAACTTCTAATGATTTTCTAACACATTGGTTTGCAATAAAAGTCTCCTGAATAACTAAAAAATCCAGATATTCAGATTTTGTGAAATTTCAAAAGCAATAAATAAAACTAAGTAAGGTCAGATGAGAGAACAGATGTGAAATAAATGGAGTACACGTACTTCAAGTCATAAATGCATTTAGCTTCCCAATAAGGCTTAGGGCAAAGTGAAAAAGTCTGAAAGATCAACTTTATCTAGCTCAAAAGTTGTCACCAACATCATTTATATTAGAAAATCACTCACTTTTCTAAATGCTGTTTTGCTGATGCAAAAATATTTCTTGGAATTTGGCTGCAAGAAGATTGACCACAAGGAAATTCAGGATTTGCAGTTCTGAAGAAATGCCACATTACTCTAGGAACTCAAACTCCTACAGTGTTGGCTCAGGCTGAACATGGTAGCTAGCATACAGTTAAGGCTTAATAGCAGTTTAATGGCTAAATGAATGACTAAATAGACAGCAGGATGAATGAACAATGCCATGAGAAACGTATAAGGAGAGTTGTAAATATTGAAAGACAGAAAAAGAGAATGAACACAATCTGTTTAAAGACTTACTTATTCCATGCTTGTCTAAGGTTTTTAGAGCTGTACAGGGTAAAGCGTTCTGAAATAAAAAAGAAAAATGATAAACAATCTTTGTATCAAATGTATATATTGCAAGTATGTTGAAAAAAACTCAACTTTTAAAAAAGACAATGTGCTATTCAGTCAGTTAGGCCAGCATAGTAAGTCTTCACTTTTATACCGGGCAGTCACAAAGAGTAAAACAGGAAGATTACAACATATTAAACAGTGAAGCATTGTTTTCTTTTGTCTAAGATGGTTATTTCATAATTTTGTTTCCTGGTAACTATTTATTAGAATAACTTTTAATTGAGCTGAAAAAAGAAATGCAAATTCCAAACCTCCAACCTGTAAGTAGATTTATAGAAATATATCAACACAGTACATCAAGTGAGACTTACTGCTTTTTCCTATGATGATTTCTCTGACCAAATACAGTAATGTTGGGTCTCCTTTCCTATGTTGGATGGTATTTATATACGCTCAAAACCAAACTACCAGGGTCTTATACTCTATATTTACATTTATCAGTGAACAATCTTTAGATTTGTTTTAGCTTAAAAAGAAACATGTTTGTTTTACCAAGTTAAACTATAAAGTAATATAGAATAGACATTAGAATCTCTTTACCTGCTCATTCTTTCACTCCTGATGAAATAGCATTTGTTAATGATTTGGTATGTCTGTTTTCAACTATACCCATCCTTATGTACAAACATATATACCATTAATTTTTTAAATGGATTGTATAATAAACATTATTTTTGAAATCTTTTTGGCATTTAATAATATATACTGGATAGTCCCTTCAAATTAAAAAAAAATATGTAACTTTTTTTTTTTTTTTTTTTTTTTTTTTTTTTTTTTTTTGAGACAGAGTCTTGCTCTGTTGCCCAGGTTGGAGTGCAGTGGTGCAATCTTGCTCACTGCAACCTCCGTCTCCTGGGTTCAAGTGATTCTCCTGCCTCAGCCTCCTGAGTAGCTGGGATTACAGGCACATGCCATCATGCCCAGCTAATTTTTTTTATTTTTAGTAGAGATGGAGTGTCACCACGTTGGCCAGGCTGGTCTTGAACTCCTGACCTCAGGTGATCCGCCTGTCTCAGCCTCCTAAAGTGCTGGGATTATAGGCGTAAGCCACCATGCCCAGTCTGTAATAATTGTTTTTAAATTGTATAATGTTCCATAGAACAGAAGTAACATAATTTGTCTGACTGTTCTCTCATTGATGAACCTTCAAGTAGTTTCCAATTTCTTTCCCCTTACAAACAGTACTTCAACAAATATCCTTGCACAAATCCCTCTGTATACAGATGCTTTCACTTCTATTGGACAGAGTCCCCAATATAGAATTGCTTAAACAGCATGCACATTTTAAATTTTAATAATTGCCAACAGAGTACTTTTCATTTTCCTACCAATGCTGAAAAAGAATGTCACTTTCTCCATATGCCTTCTAGCACTGGTTGTTAACAGTTTTTACATTTCGCCAAAGCTACACTTCATAAAACATTCTTGGGCTTCTTTTCATATGTTTTCTGGCCATTTACATTTCTTCTACTATTTCAAATTCACTTTTTTAGCTGGTACCAATTTTAATATTGTGTTCTTGGTTTTTTATCCATCAGTTTATAGAAGTTTTTTGTATATGATCAAGTTGTCTCGTGTGTGTGTATAAAAGTGAAATATGTGTATACTTTTTTCCACATAGAAATTGAAATTTTTATTTAGTAAATTATTCTTTTTCTTTTTTATTATACTTTATGTTCCAGGATACATGTGCAGGATGTGCAGGTTTGTTACACAGGTATATGTGTGCCATGGTGGTTTGCTGCACCTATCTACCCATCATCTAGGTTTTAAGTCCCACATGCATTAGCTATTTGCCCTGATGTTCTCCCTCCCCTCACCCTCCAACTTCTCAACAGGCCCCCGTGTGTGATGCTCTCTTCCCTATGTCCCTGTGTTCACTTTGTTAAATTCTCAATGTGATGAGGAATTTAACAAGTGAAAACATGCTTGGTTTTCTGTTTCTGTGTTAGTTTGCTGAGGATGATGGCTTCCAGCTTCACCCATGTCCCTACAAAGGACATAATCTAATTCCTTTTTATGGCTACATAGTATTCTGTGGTTAATATATATCATATTTTGTTTATCCAGTCTATCACTGATGGGCATTTGGGTTGGTTCCATGTCTTTACAACACTATTGTAAATAGTGTTGCAATAAATATACATGAGCACGTGTCTTTACAGTAGAATGATTTATATTCCTTTGGATATATACCCAGTAATGGGATTGCTGGGTCAAATTATATTTCTGGTTCTAGATCCTTAAGGAATCACTACACTGTCTTCCAAAATGGTTGAACGAATTCATATTCTCACCAACAGTGTAAAAGCATTCCTGTTTCTTCACAGCCTCATCAGCATCTATTGTTTCTTGACTTTTTAATAATCAGCATTCTGACCAGCATGAGATGGTCTCATTGTGGTTTTAATTTGCAATTCTCTAATGATCAGTGATGTTGAGCTTCTCTTCCTATGTTTGTTGGATGTATCAATGTCTTCTTTTGAGAAATGTGTGTTCATATCCTTTGCCTATTCTTTGATTTTTTTTTTCTTGTAAATTTGTTTGAGTTCTTTGAAGATTCTGTATATTAGCCCTTTGTCAGGTGGGTAGATTGCAAACATTTTCTCTCATTCTGTAGGTTGCCCGGTCACTCTGATGATAGTTTCTTTTGCTGTGCATAAGCTCTTTAGTTTAATTAGATCCCATTTGTCAATTTTAGCTTTTGTTGCAATTGCTTTTGGCATTTTTGTCATTAAATATTTGCCCCTGCCTATGTCCTGAATGGTATTGCCTAGATTTTCTTCGAGGGTTTTTATAGTTTTGGGCTTTACATTTAGGTCTTTAACTCATTTTGAGTTATTTTTTGTATAAGGTGTAAGAAAGGGTTCCAGTTTCAGTTTTCTGCCCATGGCTAGCCAGTTTTCCCAGCACCATTTATTAAATAGGGAATCCTTTTCCCACAGCTTGTTTTTGTCAGGTTTGCTGAAGATCAGATGGTTACAGATGTGTGGCATTAGTTCTGAGGTCTCTGTTCTGTTCCATTGGTCTATATGTCTGTTTTGATACCCACAACAAGCTTTTTTTTAGGTTACTAGAACCTTGTAGGATAGTTTGAAGTCTGGGACTGTGATGCCTCCAGTTTTGTTCTTTTTGCTTAGGATTGTCTTGGCTATATAGGCTCTTTTTTGGTTTGATACGACATTTAAAGTAGTTTTTTTCTAATTCTGTGAAGACTGTCAATGACAGTTTGATGGGGATAGCATTGAATCTACAAATTACTTTGGGCAGTATGGCCATTTCCACGTTATTGATTCTTCCTATCCATGAGCATGGAATGTTTTTCCATTTGTTTGTGTCCTCTCTTATTTCCTTGAATAGTGCTTTGTAGTTCTCCCTGAAGAGGCCCTTCAGAGCTCTTGTTAGATGTATTCCTAGGTATTTTATTTTCTTTATGGCAATTGTGATTGGGAGTTCATCCATCATTTGGCTCTCTGTTTGCCTATTGTTGGTGTATAGGAATGTTTGTGATTTCTGCACACTTATTTTGTATGCTGAGACTTTGCTGAAATTCCTTATCAGGTTAAGAAGATTTTGGGCTGATAACAATGGGGTTTTTAAAATATAGAATCATGTCATCTGCAGAGACAACTTAACTCTCTCTCTCTTCCTATTTGAATACCCTTTATTACTTTCTCTTGCCTGATTGCCTTGGCCAGAACAGGATACTCTGTTGAACAGGAGTGGTGAAGGAGGGCATCCTTGCCTTGTGATGGTTTTCAAAGGGAATGCTTCCAGCTTTTTGCCCATTCAGTATGATGTTGGCTATGGGTTTCTTATAAATAGCTCTTATTATTTTGAGGTATGTTCCATCAATACCTAGTTTACTGAGAGTTTTTAACCTGAAGGGCTGTTGAATTCTATCGAAGGCCTTTTCTGCAACTATTGAGATAATCATGTGCTTTTTATCATTGGTTCTGTTTATGTGATGGATTATATTTATTTATTTCCATATGCTGAACCAGCCTTGCATCCCAGGGATGACGTATACTTGGCCGTGGTGGATAAGCTTTTCCATGTGCTGCTGGATTTGGCTTGTCAGTATTTTATTGAGGATTTTCGCATCAATGTTCGTCAGGAATATTGGCCTGAAGTTTTCCTTTTTGTGTGTGTTTCCACCTGGTTTTGGTATCAGGATGATGCTGGCCTCATAAAATGAGTTAGGGAGAAGTCCCTCCTTTTCAATTGTTTTGGATAGTTTCAGAAGGAATAGTGTCAGCTCCTCTTTGTATGTCTGGTAGAATCTGGCTGTAAATTCATCCGGTCCTGGGCTTTTTTTTTGGTTGGTAGACTATTAATTACTGCCTCAATTTCAGAACTTGTTATCGGTATATTCAGGGCTTCGACTTCTTCCTGGTTTAATCTTAGGTGTACGTGTCCAGGAATTTATCCTTTTCTTTTAAATTTTCTAGTTTACTTGTGTAGAGGTGTTTACAGTATTCTCTGATGGTAGTTTGTATTTCTCTGGGGTCGGTGGTGATATCCCATTTATCATTTTTTACTGTGTCTATTGACTCTTCTCTCTTTTCTTCTTTATTATCTAGCTAGTGGTCTATTTTGTTAATTTTTCAAAAAAATTTTCTCTTGGATTCATTCATTTTTTGAAGGGTTTTTTCGTGTCTCTATCTCCTTAAGTTCTGCTCTGATATTAATTATTTCTTGTCTTCTGTTAGCTTTTTAATTTGTTTGCTCTTGCTTCTCTAGTTCTTTCAATTGTGATGTTAGGGTGTCAATTTGAGATCTTTCTAGCATTCTGATGTGAGCATTTAGTGCTGTAAGTTTCTCTCTTAACACTGCTTTAGTTGTATCCCAGAGATTCTGGTACATTGTCTCTTTGATCTCACTGGTTTCAAAAAACTTCTTGATTTCTGCATTAATTTTATTATTTACTCAGGAGTCATTCAAGAGCAG